AGACCAGATTTTAGGTGTTGATGGTGTAGATTGGTGTTGATGAGGAGGTCAATATGAGAGTCTTTTTTAGAGTTTTTTTCTAGAAATTTTTTACTATTCTGGTTTAAATTTATGGGTGGAGCATATTAAAAATTATTAAAGTTATACTACGTTAAAAAATCTTTTAGTATATATATTTTTATTTAATTGATTTTTAATTAAAACTATTTTAATATATATTACTATTATTATTTAGTTGATTGTTTTTTCAAAAAATTGGTTATGTTATGTTTAAATTTATTATACATATTCAATTAGTTGGAAATTAAATATATTTAATAGAAGGAAGGTCATGTGAAATGATTCAGGTACAAATGTAAGAAATATATAAATGGCATGGGTTGATTGAGGCTTACTGAGTAAATGTATGTGCGTTTTTATCTCACTTTGAGAGTATACTGAGGAGCTGAAATGGTATTAAAATTGTTGAGATATGTGTATTTCGCTAAGAATGAGTGGATGAATGGTGTTAAAATGAAAAAAGTAGAATGAAGAAAATAACGACGACTGCGGGAAACGAACCTCGGTCTCCGCGGCGAAACATCATGACTTATCTAACTGAGCTAAACGATCTTATACTTACTAGAAATTTATGTTTATATTTTCTAAAATTAAAAAGCTATAATGGGTGAACTTGATGATAGAGATATGAATGCACATATAGAAATATGTACGATATATAGGGTCAACAAATGGTTATGTCAACCTGTAATTGTGTGAGAAAGATAAGGACATGCGCAGTGGAAATCTAAAATTATGACTTAAAAGAAAAGGTATAAATAGTTATGGGCACTGTGTGTTTTGACTGACTAGAAGCAGGGTGTAAAAATGTAGTGGAGTGTCTATACATCGGATCACTAAAATAAGGATAGGCGCAGCGGAGTGTTGCTATATCGACTGACTTAAATAGGAATTGGCGCAGTTGAGTGTGCATACATCGACTGACTTAAATAGGAATTGGCGCAGTGGAGTTTGCATACATCGACTGACTTAAATAGGAATTGGCGCAATGGAGCTTCCTCGCAAGTGTAAAGGGTTTTGGTTAGGGTAGGCAATCTATAAAACATTCTTTTAATACACAAGTTCGCTATTTGTGTATCAGTTATAAGAACATTTTGAATTTGTGAGAATATAAATTCTTTTGTACAATCAAAAAATAAAAAACAAAAAGACATAAGCATGTGATGGGAGAACGCGCGCGTACATGAGAAATATATACGTGAGACTTGGTTTTTAAGAAATTAAGTCTTTAAGAATAAAAATTAAAACAAAGATAGAAAAACATGTTCTAAGGAAATAAAATGCGAAGTAAAGAAGGATTAATAAGACCTCAAGCTAAAAACGAGAGAAGAGAGGATATAACTGATGTAAGAAAATATTTTTATAATTATTAAAGAAGTAGATCTAAATATATAAATTGTTACAGGACAGACCTCAAACATATTAATTGAGACACAAATAAAAAGTTGTCTACGTATATTAAACTCATTAACGCAAAAAGTTGAGAGGAGGGGGAGCTGTGAGAACTTAGGCGCAGCTGAGTGTGCATACATCGACTGACTTAAATAGGAATTGGCGCAGCTGAGTGTACCTACATCGACTAATTTAAATAGGAATTGGCGCATCTGAGTGTGCATACATCGACTGACTTAAATAGGAATTGGCGCAGCTGAGCGTGCATACATCGACTGACTTAAGTAGGAATTGGCGCAGCTGAGTGTGCATACATCGACTGACTTAACTAGGAATTGGCGCAGCGGAGTTTGCATACATCGACTGACTTAAATAGGAATTGGCGCAATGGAGCTTACTCGCAAGTGCAAAGGGTTTTGGTTAGGCCAGGCAATCTATAAAAAATTCTTTTACTACAAAAGTTCGCTATTTGTGTATCAGTAATAAGAACATTTTAAATTTGTGATAATATTAATTCTTTTGTACAATTCAAAAAATTAAAAGGCATTAGCGTGTGATGTAAAAGCGCGCGCGTACATGAGGTTTATATACGTGAGACTCGTTTTCTAGCAAATTAAGTCTTAAGAATGAAAACAAAAATAAAAAACAAAGATAGAAAGACTATATTCTAAGGAAATAAAATACGAAGTGAAAAAAGTATTAAAGAAACCTCAAGTTAAGAACGAGAGAAGAGAAGATATAACTGATATAAGAAAATTATATATATATATTAAAGAAGTAGATCTATATTTATTTTTTGTTACAGAAAAGACTTCAAGCACACAAATTAAAAGTTGTCTACGTATATTAAACTCATTTCTTATAGCGCAAAAAATTGAGAGGAGGGGGAGCTGTGAGAACATAGGCGCATTGGAAATCACACAATAGACACAGGTCAGCTTTTTGACATGATAAAAAGGCGTTACAAATAATGCTTGAGAAATAAGGAATAAACAATGCACAAACTAACAAAGTCGTACTGAGAAAATGCGTGTATATGGTTCGAATAGAAATGTGTATGCTTGCCTCGCTTACACAGTTTATGAACTTAATTTAAATAGAGGAACTTACAGTCTTATAAAAAGTGAATTTGAATTTAATCTCGAAATAAGTATTAAAAATTGGCTAAAAATTGGTGTGAGTCTTACTTAGAGATTACTACTATTACTCTTAGATGTTGACTTATTAAGAACTTAGTACTATAATTTATAATTCAAAACGAACAAACTGTTAGTGCTTACTCACATTAATACATAATAGGACAGTATATCATAATAGTATTATTTTGACAATATTAAACTGACAAAAAAACATGGTAATTAATACAAATTTCAAAGACAAAATACAAAGCAAACAACATGACAATAGAACAATATAGACAAATTATTTGCAACAAAATTAAATTACGCGCATTTAGAATTCAAAAAGATACGCATAAAAATACATTAGTGTTTTGAGAAAAAAGCAAACGAATTAGGTAGTGTAAATACCAGATTCTCATCAGGAAATGGTTATGGTATTGACCCTTTTGAGGGGGTCTCTACCCTGGTATTATGACGTTTCGAATGTTTAATTCACTAACTTCTAAAAACTCCCGTCGGAGTCTTATCATCGAAATCGGTATAAAAAACCCATTCCGACGCCAAGCCTCGCTCATGTTGCAACACTAAAAGGACACACTACTCGGAGCCAATTACCCTGTCATAAACTTATTATTTAAACACTAATATATTTTTTAGAAAGAAGTTATAAAAACAAAATTTATTTAGCGCAATAGGTGAGCTTAAAACTTTACGATAAGTTAACACATATAAAGTAATTTTTAGCGGCATAAAGTTAATTGGAAACACTTAATGTATGTGAAACTAAAAATCGATGGTAATATTTATATAATAAGTGGAAATGATACTTTTAAAATATATAACATTAGCACATTTTTTTAGATAAACTTAAGTGGCATTAAAGTAGGACTTACGATATAGATATTATATATATCATATATATAGCCAATATAAAGTCGAAACTTGATGTCAAGTATCTTTTGATATATTTTGGCGTAGTTAAATCTTTACGATAATCGTATTTAAGAAAAAGTAAATAAAAATACGAATCGTACCGTTGCTTCTTGGCATATTCTTTTGGATTTTTGAAGAAAACTGTTCGATGATGATGGTCTTTTGGAAGCCATAAATTGTTTATATTTAAAGAATATATCAGATTATTATTAACGAGCTGTTATCTAGATGTTTCTCGTAGGTAATGCTATGATAGTATGTGAAAAGATTAAATGATAAGCATTGATGATGTGAGAAAGGTGCGAAAAATTTTTTTATGGCTAATAGGTTTAATAGTTTAGTTTGTACCGGATATGTAAGGTACTTAAGTGTAATTGTAAAAAGAAAGAGAAAAAAAAAAAATTTTTTTATGGTTTTTAGAGTAGTAATAAATCGGCTAATGATATCACAAGTTCGTCTGACTATCGGAATTTAAGTAGTTTAGAATAGGTCAAGCATTGGGTTGTTATTTCCTATTCGTTGGTTTAATCGAAAGAAAATCAATCTAATTTTTTATTATATATTATTACTTATTTTTCAATATGTTTTTTATATAAAAAACTTTTTTATACAATTATGAAAAAGTCAGAAATTTTCATGGAGATCAATTTATTATTAAATTTTGTTCGTTTTTTTTGTCATCAATCTGTACTGCTTTTATTTCTCGAGCATATGGTGTCTTGTATTGTATCTATGATTAAAAGTTCTGATATAGAGTGCAGTGTTTCTATGTTATTATTCGTCTCTCGCTCTTTTTCTTTCTCTTTTGTTTGATTTTGTGTTCCCCTTTTACGCATTTCTTCATCTTGTAGGAACGCTTGGATACATATTCTAATCTCTCTTTTTTCTTTTGCTGAGAACTTTTTGTTGTGTGTGTTCTTTTAAAAAAATAAAAATAAAAAAGTTTTTGGTTTTATTATAAATTAAGATTAAAGGTTTTTTAGACGTGGGTGTATTATAAAGGTTTTTAAATTCTATTTCTCTTATTAGGATTTTGATCTACTTCATTAATCTTATTTTACGCTTATTTTATTTAACGCTTATTTTATTTATACTTGATTGATGGTTTGTTTTTATTGACTTAGTTGTTTTTATAGTATGTATTATCAAGGTTATTAAATCAGTAATTTATCATGGTTACCTATATTCAGAGATTGCGTATATCTTTAGAGATATTTGTGTGCTATTGTTTATGTTTGGGGAGAACTATGGGAGATATTTGTGGATTTGTTTTGAATTTTATCATATACTTAATAATATAAGGCTATATTGTATTTCGAAAGGACAATTTTCTATAGATGTTTCTTAGATAATGCTAAGTTTAGTTTTAAACTTGATTAATATATTTCAAGACTAAAAATTCGTTTATAAATATGTAAGATTTTTTATATTAAAACTATTAGGATATATACAAACATATATATAAGAAAATTAGCGTTGTTACAATTGTTTTAATTAAATTTGAAATTTCGTGGAGATTAGTTTTTCTTTCAGGGATTTGTTGTTAGAGAACACTTTTCTGGTTTTCATTGGAAAAATTTTATTTAGCGTGGAATCTTTTTCAATAATTATCCAAGTTTTTTGAATCATTATTGATATTAGTTGACCTCTTTGGTCATTTGGCATCACTACAGCTATCGGGCTTATTTCATTCTCGTTGTTTTTGATTTTTTCCTCTATAAGTTCTCTCTGGGTGTATTTAAGTGCTTTTTTTATATTGAAGTTGATCATTTCTAACGGATAACCTTTTGTTATTAAGGTTCTTGCAAGGTTTTCTAGCTCGCCTTTTAGATTATTTTCTGATCTAATTATTTTATTTAATCGCAATGCTTGGCTGTATATAAGCCCTTCTTTTTGATGTCTGGGGTGGTGAGACTTGAAGTGAAGTAGACTACATGTGTCTGTTGGTTTTTTATACAAGGTCGATGTTAGTCCTCTATATTTATTCTTCGATAGAAGCAGGTCCATGAAGGCTACTTCTGTTTTAGAGGCATTGAATGTAAATTTTATGGACTTGTGTATGCTATTCATGAATTGTTTAACGCTATTTAATTCTTCTTCATTCCCCAGAAATATAAAGAAGATATCGTCAATAAATCTTTTGTAGTTTTGGATTGAGTTCGAATATTTTTCTATGATTTTTTTGTCAATTAAACCCATGAATAAATTTGCATAGGGTGGTGCCATTCTAGTACCCATTGACGTACCTGAAATTTGTAGGTAATCTTTATTTCCAAATCCAAATGCGCTGTTTTCTAATATTGTTTTCACTATCCTAATCAAGTGTGAGATCGGGGGTCTTGGGGGAATGTCTTCAGGATAAGAGAAGTCTTTATAGATTGTTAAGTAGTGTTTCAAAGCCTCAATTCCTTCCTCATGTGGTATATTCGTGTATAGTGACGTTACGTCGGCTGTGACTAACCAATAGTCTTCTACTGTTGTATTCTTTGTGCCTAATATTCGTAGTAGTTCTGTACTATCTTTGAAGTATGCTGGTAGTTTTTCTACTAATGGTTGGATATAGCCTGTTACAAATCGGGATAGATTATCGGTCGGCCCTTCGCAACCTGATACGATGGGCCTCAGTGGTATTCCTACTTTGTGTACTTTTGGTAACCCATAAAATAATGGTTTCCTACATGGGTTGTTTGGTTTAAGCATTTCTCTAACGGTTTTGTCAATAGACTCTTTCCTAAACATATAGTTGATTAAATCGTGGACTTCATTAATTATTCTTGCCATAGGGTTGTTGGTGAGGAGTTTGTATGTAGTGTTGTCATTCAACATTTCTAATACTTTCGATTCATAGTCTTTTGTGTCTAGGATGCAGATCCCTCCACCTTTATCTGTTTGTTTAAATATTATGTTATGATCTTTTGTTAATCCTAAAAGTATTTTTCTAGCGTTGTTACTGATATTTTCGGGCGAGTTATCTAGCCTTTTTTTCAAGATTTCTTCTGTTTTTAGCTCTACTATTTTTAAAAATCTTCTTATTTTTTTATTTTTTGGCGTTGGTGGTGTCCATTCGGATTTCTTTGCTATGTTTTTATATTTCTTTCCTTCTTTGTATTCATTTTTATTTTCGGAGAAGAACATTTTTAGTTCAATTCGCCTTTTGAATTTAATTACTTCTTCTCTGTAGCAATTTTTGCCTTTTCTCTGGGGGGAGATGATAAATTTGAGTCCTTTATTAATTATGTTGAGTTCACTTTCTGTAAATTTTTTGCTAGACAAGTTGACAATTGCTTTTTCCCTCATTTTAATTGTGATGTTTTTCTTTTCTTTTTTTAACATTTTTGTGAATTCCTCCCCAGTGCTTCCTTTCCAGTTTGGCAAAAAGAGTTTTTTCATTGTGATGTTTGATATCATTCTTTTTTTATCATTTGGTTCGTACATCTTTCTTATTTTATCATTTGGTTCGTACATCTTTCTTAGTTGATCCTGATAATATGAAAGGGAAAAATTTTTTATAGGGATTTTTGCTTGTTTTTTAATTTTTGTTTAATTTATATACGCACATATATATATATATATACATATACATATATATATATATATATATATATGCATATACACACACACCCATATACACATATACACATACACACATACACACAGTATATACACACATATATATACACACATACACACACACACATATCCATATATACATATATACACAGTGCATTTCTTTTATATGTGTGGGGATAATTTTACAAGAAAAAATAAATAAATAAATTTTCAATTTCTATATTAAGTTATGGTTAATTCACAAATTAAAATTTAAACAATATCTGCTAACATTTTTGTTAAAAACAATATATCCTGGTTATATTTATAAACTCTAGCGCATTTAATACAGAATGTTTTGTCTTGTTTTTGGTTGTCTTCATAACTTTTGTTGAATAACCTTAATTCGTAACTTAGTTGGCAAATCTTACTAATTTGTTTTACAGTGTAGGCATTATCATGGTTATAGTTTTTCTTTAAATATTGGGCTAGTTCTACGGCTGAATTAATATTATTTACTTGTTTATGTGTGTGGGTTTTTCTTATTATGCTGGGTTCAATTTGGTCAATAGTAGCGTCTTTGGTTTTCTCTAATTTTCTTTGAGGTGTTGCGTTTTTTTCTGGCATTATTGGAGTGGCGCTATCTATTTTGTTGGTGGACGGTCTTGTTTCTATGATCAAAAAATCAACTTCATCAATTGTCGGAGTCTTTGTATTTCTTCGTTGTTGCGGGATTTTTAACTGTGTGTTATTTCGAACTTTGTTGATTTTTTTCTTCTTGTTAAAAAAGTTGTTTATGTCATTATCTTGTTCCGTTAGATCTATATAGATGACCTTTTTAGTTGCGGAATTCTAGAAACATTATTTAAAAGATTAGTGGGTATCACTTAAAGTCGTAATTTTGAGTTTATATTTTACTTAGATTAGATGGAGTATTTTTTCGTTTTATGCTTATGATAGTATACTTTGGTTTTAATCCTTTCTATTATGGTTCTAGGAAATTTTTTGGGATACGTTTATTAAAGCTGATCATTAAATTACCTAATAGAGAGAATGATATATGGATCATCATTCATCCTCTGTGAATTAAGTCATTGGGATATTTGTGTGATTTTACATTGCTTTTAAAGTGAAAAAGAATGAGACAAAAATATCGATGGTTGTAGATGTATATTGATTTATTGAAGAACTAGATTTAATTTAACTAGTGTGTGTGAACTTCTTACAGTTTCATTTCATGTTATGAGATGACTCAGAGGATTGTTCATAAGTTATATTCTTATTAAGTTAGTACTATTTAAATATTCTACATATTAATTATGTTCATGTTTACGATTTATGTTTATAATCTAAAGTTATTTTATGTTATGGTGCAGTTTATTTTAGAATACTTTTTTATGTACTGTTTATCATAGTTTAAATTGTTATATTAGAAATCTATATTTTTGCTGCTTTTTTTTAAAAAATAGGTTTATTCCTTACATTTAACTTTCTTTGAGATTAGTCTCAAGGTTTAAGAGAGAACACAGACTGGAGTTACCCTTGAAATAAAAAAAGATACAAATTCCCTTTCCCCTCAGTCAAGATCGTGTTATAGTAATGAGTAAGAAGACGTCGTGGTCCCCGAGCATCTACCCTCTTTGCAGAGGTGTGTTAGGGTTTGTGTTTATCGGAGATAATCAGACAAAGTCTGTTTACTCGATATGCAAGCTGGACCTGTCAGCCTAAGGGAAGAAAAAAGGAAACAATTATTACGATATAAGTAATAGATTTATGCAAAGTTTAGACAGGTGTCTAGAGAGAAGTTCAAAGATTAAGGATTACGGGGACAAAAAAGAATTGTCGCTCTTTTTTTTATTTTTTATATAAGTAATTATTTATTTTTTTATTAATTTAAACTTATTGAGTGATCATAGTTTATTTAGATTTTAATTAATTAAAGTTATATTTTATTGTTTAAAGTTATTCTTTAATTATTTTAAATTTTTTGAGAGTTATATTTTGAACGAAGTTTAGCAAAAATTTAGATTTTTTATTAGTGGATTGATATGGTTGAAGTGAATTAATGAGGGGATCTAGGTATCTCTTCAGGGTATGCGTTGGTAGTGGCTTCCCAACTATTATAACACACGCTGATCCAATTCCAGCGAAGCAAACAAGCTAAATGATCTTTAACCCGTACTTAGAACGATGTCGGGTAAGCCGTTGCAAGTTGAACTTCTTACGGCAAGATCTTAACCGACACTTCACATAAGGAGCAGAGCATTATAAAAGCAGCTAAAACCACTACAAGACGAATAGCTAAGCGATAGCGTAGATGTAGGAGTATCGGTTCATGGTATTAGTAGAGGGTAGATTCTATTTTATGCTATAATTTTAAAGGTTAACTTTGTTTATTTGAATTTATCAGAGCGTACACTTATTTATTTTCAGCAAGATAGGTTTAAAGGTTTAAGATAAAACAAAGATGGGGGGTCCCGAAAGATCAAAAAGATACAAATTTGCTATTCCCCTCTGTCAAGATATTGTTATAGTAATGAGTAAGAAGACGTCGTGGTCCCCGAGCATCTACCCTCTTTGCAGAGGTGTGTTAGGGTTTGTGTTTATCGGAGATAATCAGACAAAGTCTGTTTACTCGATATGCAAGCTGGACCTGTCAGCCTAAGGGAAGAAAAAAGGAAACAATTATTACGATATAAGTAATAGATTTATGCAAAGTTTAGACAGGTGTCTAGAGAGAAGTTCAAAGATTAAGGATTACAGGGACAAAAAAGAATTGTAGCTCTTTTTTTTAATTTTTTGTATAAGTAATTATTTATTTTTTTATTAATTTAAACTTATTGAGTGATCATAGTTTATTTAGATTTTAATTAATTAAAGTTATATTTTATTGTTTAAAGTTATTCTTTAATTATTTTAAATTTTTTGAGAGTTATATTTTGAACGAAGTTTAGCAAAAATTTAGATTTTTTATTAGTGGATTGATATGGTTGAAGTGAATTAATGAGGGGATCTAGGTATCTCTTCAGGGTATGCGTTGGTAGTGGCTTCCCAACTATTATAACACACGCTGATCCAATTCCAGCGAAGCAAACAAGCTAAATGATCTTTAACCCGTACTTAAAACGATGTCGGGTAAGCCGTTGCAAGTTGAACTTCTTACGGCAAGATCTTAACCGACACTTCACATAAGGAGCAGAGCATTAGAAAAGCAGCTAAAACCACCCCAATACGAATAACCAAGCGATAGCATAGATGCAGGAGTATCGATTCATGGTATTAGTAGAGAGTGGACTTCCTAACTATTCAAACGGTACTGATCGAATTCTAGCGAAGCAAACAAGCTAAATGATCTTTAGCCAGCTTCAATCATTGCTGGGTCAGCAGTTGCCCCCTCAGTCAGTTGATTTACTTGCGGCTAGATCTTAACCGACACTTCACATTAGGAGCAGATCGTTGGAACAGCAGCAGAGTACCACCTCAAGATAAATCACCATCGCGATAGACCAGATATTGGGTTTTGATTATGGAGGTAGAAAGATATAAGAGTTTCTTATTTTATTTAATAGGTTTTACACACATATATTGATATATCTTTTAATAGTTTAAAGTTATTGAGTACTTATGGTTTATTTTGGTTTTAATTGTTTAAATTTATATTTTTTAAAAAATTTATATTTTAATTGTTTAAATTTATGTTTAAAGGAGATTATACAAAAATTATTTTTTATTAATGAATTAGTTTGGTTAAGCAAGTCAAAAAAGGAAGAAAAGGTAAAAGATCTAAGTATCGATTCAGGGTATCGGTTGGTAGTGGCTTCCCAACTATTCAAACACACACTGATCCAATTCCAGCGAAGCAAACAAGCTAAATGATCTCTAACCCGTACTGAGAAACGATGTCGGGTAAGCCGTTGCAAGTTGAACTTCTTACGGCGAGACCTTAACCGACACTTCACATTAGGAGCAGAGCATTAGAAAAGCAGCTAAAACCACCCCAATACGAGTAACCAAGCGATAGCATAGATGCAGGAGTATCGATTCATGGTATTAGTAGAGAGTGGACTTCCTAACTATTCAAACGGTACTGATCGAATTCTAGCGAAGCAAACAAGCTAAATGATCTTTAGCCAGCTTCAATCATTGCTGGGTCAGCAGTTGCCCCCTCAGTCAGTTGATTTACTTGCGGCTAGATTTTAACCGACACTTCACATTAGGAGCAGAGCGTTGGAACAGCAGCAGAGTGCCACCTCAAGATAAATTACCATAGCGATAGACCAGATTTTAGGTGTTGATGGTGTAGATTGGTGTTGATGAGGAGGTCAATATGAGAGTCTTTTTTAGAGTTTTTTTCTAGAAATTTTTTACTATTCTGGTTTAAATTTATGGGTGGAGCATATTAAAAATTATTAAAGTTATACTACGTTAAAAAATCTTTTAGTATATATATTTTTATTTAATTGATTTTTAATTAAAACTATTTTAATATATATTACTATTATTATTTAGTTGATTGTTTTTTCAAAAAATTGGTTATGTTATGTTTAAATTTATTATACATTTTAAATTAGTTGGAAATTAAATATATTTAATAGAAGGAAGGTCATGTGAAATGATTCAGGTACAAATGTAAGAAATATATAAATGGCATGGGTTGATTGAGGCTTACTGAGTAAATGTATGTGCGTTTTTATCTCACTTTGAGAGTATACTGAGGAGCTGAAATGGTATTAAAATTGTTGAGATATGTGTATTTCGCTAAGAATGAGTGGATGAATGGTGTTAAAATGAAAAAAGTAGAATGAAGAAAATAACGACGACTGCGGGAAACGAACCTGGGTCTCCGCGGCGAAACATCATGACTTATCTAAGTGAGCTAAACGATCTTATACTTACTAGAAATTTATGTTTATATT